ACAAACGATAAAAATATGTATTATGTTAATTTTTATAGGTAAGATTATATCTTAAATTATATTAAAAATTATTACTCGAGTACACGCTAATGTATAATAATATAAATATGGAATGAGTTTCGGTGTTGCCGTATCATTTTATACGATTCGACTAAATGATTTTTATGTTCTTATATATTCCTCTTATTTTCTTTTTAATTAAACTTAATGTGTATGTGTGCATAAAATGCACTGACAACCTAATTATTTATACCTTTTAATGGCTAAAACATGCTAAAATATTTCTTAATTTAGGGGTACGTAAATCTTGATCTTTGTTTGTTCTTGCCATACTTATTTTCGTGTTTTATGGAAAACTGCTTTTACGTAGATGCTTTGGGGGTAACATCGCGCGAAATTCGAACCATGAATTCACTGTCTTCATCAGTTCTGTAATGCATTAATTATACGTTTCAATACTGGGAAACTCATTACACGTTTACTCATTATTAATCATGTTCTATTCTTTGCGTTAAACAATGTTATTTATTATTCATTTATTGATTTCATTGTACGCAGTTTTATTACAGTGATAAGTAGTGTGGTTTTGTACGCTTAATCACTTTTACATGGTATAGTATACTGATGGTATACCCAGGGGAATAATTTAAAAAATAGTTTCTGTATAAATGCTCGATGAGGGGTTAGATGGAGGGCAGGGGTGGTACTTGTGAACTATGGTCGTGTAAAATTCATTTTTCTTTTTTATTTTCCTGCACATTCTGTGCCTCGAGCTGTGCCTAAATGCGTTCTTTTAATAAAGTATCCAAAGTGCACCTTTAGTCCAGGCTATATAATATTTTTTGATAAAAAAATTAGTTACCGGGCGAAACTGGGTTTTTCAGGCAGGTGAAATAAATAGAAATTGGGACAAAATAATTAAAACAGCTGAATTTTTCCGCGGGTGAAATCACGGGGGTTGAAATGGGTGGAAAGTAGTGTTTTGCAAATTGTGGCAAAAGTATTAATTTTAGACGAAAATGTTAAATGCAAAAGTTATAGAGATTAAAAAAATGAGTAACTTTTGTATCTGCACTATTTTCACATAACCTCTAATTTCCCTAGAAAAACCGGAAAAACTGTTTTTTCGTTTTTTATTCTTATTTTTGCGAAAAAATGTCGTAGGGGTTTGAAATTTGGAGGAAACATAGTTTGTTTTATGATAAAAAAGAAGATACTTTTTTGGGCCTGTAAAGTTGAACCGTTTCCAAGATCTCACGATTTCTGAAAAAAACCACCTCTTTTTCGAGGGGATGAAAGATCTATTTTTTTTCATCGTACAAAGGTGCGCGGGGTAGCAAAATTTTCGGGAAGACTTATATTTTAATAAACAAGAATAAAAAAATATTATTCCTATATCAAAAATTCGAGAAAATCGCCAAAAACTGGAAAAACAGTTTCAAGATATACACGGTTTTTGACGTGATAAATCAACATGTTGGATTTTTTCGAAATCTATCTTATTGCTTCTTTAATGTTTGCTTAAATATTCTCTTTTGTTATCTTATGCTCAACTGTTTTAGTTAAAACATCTTTATTATTTATTTATTCTGCATTTTTACCGCACTAAAAGCAATTCGAAATAAAATCGGATTATCTTGCTTCCTGATTCCTGAACAATTTCTTTTCGTTCACTGACTCTTCTTCCTGCTTGTTTTATAGCTGATGCAATTGCGTTGGGCCCGTTGAAAACTTGCAATATCTGAAATAAGAACGTTAGTTTTACCGGCCGTTGGCCAAATCAAATGATTTGAGATGTAAAACCTGGAATAAACTTTATGAGGATTTTATACATAATTCCTGTAAAACGATCAACAGGGTCAGCTTAATCCCATCAGCTGTAGAGCAGGCAGGAAGAAGAGTCAGTGAACAGAAACAAATTGTTCAGGAAGCAAAAGAATTCGATTTTACTTCGAATTGCTTTTATTGCGGCAAAAATGCAGAAAAAAGAAATAATAAAGACGTTTTAATTAAGGCAGTTGGGCGCTGGGTAATAAAAGAACATATTTTAGCAACATTAAGGAGGGGAGAGGAGACAGATTTCAAAAACTTTTTATTGGCGCGGATCCAATATGTTAATTTATTTGCAAAAAAGGCTATTTACCTACTGTCAAAAACGGTATATCTTACTGTTCCCCCCGTTTTTGCCGCTTGTCTTAAAATTTTTCTATTGGAAGAATATTTTTTATTTTTGATTATTAAAATGTAAGTCGTTACGAAAATTTTGCTACCCCACGCACCTCTGTACGATGAAAAAAATAGATTTTTCCTCCCCTTGAAAAATAGGTGGTTTTTTTCAGAAATCGTGAGATCTTGGACACGGTTTAACTTTACAGGTCCAAAAAACTATCTTCTTTTTTATCATAAAACAAGCCATGTTTCCTCCAAATTTCAAACCCCTACGACATTTTTTCGCAAAAATAAGAATAAAAAACGAAAAAAACAGTTTATCCGGTTTTTCTAGGAAAATTGAAGGTTATGTGAAAATAGTGTAGATACAAAAGTTGCTCAGTTTTTTAATCTCTATAACTTTTATATTCAACACTTTCGCCTAAAATTAATAGTTTTGCCACAATTTGCAAAACACCACTTTCCACCCCTTTCAACCCCCGGGATTTCACCGGCGGAAAAATTCAGCTGTTTTAATTATTTTTTCCCAATTTCTATTCCACCTGCCTGAAAAACCCGGTTTCGCCCGCTAACTAATTTGTTTTTTAAATAATTTATTTTTGAGCTATATTAAGCCTGGACTACTTATCAAATTTTGGTTACTAATTACATTAGTTACATAAACAGTGAGTAATGAAAACTGAAATAACCCCTAAAGAGCATCTAAAAAAGCGACAGAGCACCTCGATGTGACCCTACGGGGTCATTGGATTTGGCCCATTTTCAATTGGCATGGAGCTTTAGTTAAACGTTTCTGGGAAAGTAAAATAGGTAGGTTTTTGAACATTTGTACTTAGGAGTTACTCTGAAGGCCGTAAAATATTTTCAAAATGGCCGCACTTCCTAAAACACTGGAAGTAGATAGTAACTTCGTTATTTTAAATGGCAACCCCTATTTTTTATTGCATGTTTGGATTCTACGTGAAATTTCAGTTCTTTTGATAACCACATGTCGATATCTGTCATTTATGGTTTTTAAGTTATTTTGACTTGAAGAAAAAAAAATGGCAGATGTAGATGGTACCTTGATAATTGATAATAATAATAATAATAATAATAATAAATATATATTCATCCTGTAAGATTACTTGAAAACGGTTGTAGTCATTGCAACCCATTTTTAGCGCATTTCCACAATAAAAAAAAATGCGCTATTGTGGCCACTTTGTCCGTCCGTCCGTCCATCCGCTCGTTTTGAGACGCTACTAGTTTTGTATCTTAAGAGCTATTGTTCTACTTTTTTCGCTATTTGGTTCGTTATGGTGTCGAGTCTTGTACTAAGGAAGGAATTTTTTCTGTACCGCTTACAAAAAAAGTTATTGTAAAAAAAACAAAAAACCGTTTTTTACATGTTCCATAATTTTACACTTTTGCCGTTTATTAACGATCCTAGAGATCGTTTATAATTTTGCATTGCTGTCTGTCGTCTGCCTGTTGGTCTGTCCGTCTGTTCCTTTGTCTGTCTGTCCCTCTATCTGTCCGTGTGAACAATAACTTTGTTTAGAAATGTCCGATCGCTTTTACATCTCCGTTAGTTATTAACTGAATTGCATGAAATTCAATATGGGCATAGCTTTAGCCATATAATACGCAATGCCAAAAGTTGAGTCGAATCGATTCAAAATTCACAGTGCCCTTTTCTCATCTCGACCATTTATAAACCGAATTGCAAACTTTAATTATAAAAGTATTTAAATGAAATTTTATACATAGCCACTTGGAATAAAAGCAAATTTAACGCCCATTTTAAAATTTGGTTTTGCGCATGCGCAGTGCCAACTTTCTTATTTATGGAGGGATTTAAATGAAATTTGATACATAGCCACTTGGAACAATAGAAAATCTAACGTTAGCTTCAAAATTTAGGTTTGCGCATGCGCAGTTCCAACTTTCTTATTTAGAAAAGCATTGAAATGAAATTCTTCTTATAAACTGAAATTGAAGTAGGACATCAAAATGGATTGCACATTATGCAACGCTATCTTTCATATTTGTGGCCGGATTTTTACAATTTTAACAAAGGTTGCATCTTACAAATAGGAAATGAATGCAAGTTGAAATGCATTTTATGTAAATCGTTTACGATTACTTTTTAACTTGTTATATACTACATGTACTATGTGGGAAATACATTCTATTATAGATTCCACAGTAAAAGAGTACTAAAGTAGGTACAAAAGGTCCGCCATCCTATCTAAGCGACCGACGCGCGCGAGCGAGTATTAAGCACTCTGACGTTGTCAAGGTCAGTACATACCGAACGCGAAAGCAAATTTTACAATACAATCAACCGCTGTAGCACTAATGCTGGATTATACAGTGAATAGTCCCGGATTATAAAGTGGGTGAGCAGAATGTCGGACTACTGGGTGTGCCGGATTGTCGAGCACCTACGGAATTCATATTGTTTTATGTGTGCGTTTTTGTCATCATCTTCAAGTCAATAATAGCGCGTAATACTTGGGAGAAAACGTTTATTTAGGTTTTTGTAGGAACACATTATGGATGCATTGATACAGATTTATTTACATAAAATATGCTTTCATTTTTTAGAGTGACGTTTAGAAGTAACACAAAACCGTCAATATACTTTTTCCATAAACCTCTTTAGGAATTTAGGGCACTAACCCGTGCATATTTAATAAAATTCATCATTCTTGAAAATACACCACAGTTTTTGTGGCGTGCGCTCATGGCAATTTACATTGGAAGCAGGGAAAGGTCTAACTTTCCCTTTCGACCTTTTTCTGCAGTTCCTGCAGTGGTATCTTACTGAATTATTATTTTATTAGGTTCAACTATTGGTGTCTGATAGCGATGTTGAATCGTACAAACAAATTAAGGCTGACTTGGACGTTTTACGCCAATCAGTAGAAAAGTCTGAATTGTGGGTTTACAAGTCAAAATCCTTGGACGATCATCCACCGTCAGGAAAGAAGGGAAAGGATGAAGACGATGAGAGCGCTCCCCGCAAACCGCTTTTAAGTAGCATCGACAAAAAGGGGTCGGCAATCAATTTGGACGTCGGGCCACCTTTACATCCCGAACAGGCCGACGAATATAGGAAAATTCAACAAATTTTAATACGGATGAACAAATTGTGTATTCAGGGATCGCCGGCAACCCTAATAAAGCCAAAGAAGCACGAGCAGCGTTTGCTGCGCAACGTCGGAGTACACACTGTCGTTTTAGATTTATTGCAAATTCCCTATGACGAAAAGGAAGATGTTCGAATGAACGAGCTGATGAGATTGGCTCACGAATTCTTGCAGAATTTCTGTCTGGGAAACCAACAAAATCAGGTGTTGCTGTTTAAACATTTAGATCTCTTCTTAAATCCAGGGGTATGACACAAAAACACACATTTATACATTTCAAGTATCTTTTTATAGATCCGGGAAGCACAAACCGTTTGCTCGATATTTCAAGATAACTCGACATTATGTAATGAAGTCAACGAAAAAGTTATCCAACATTTTGTTCACTGCATCGAAAGCCATGGTCGACATGTTCAGTACCTGAAATTTTTACAAACCGTTGTGAAGGCGGAAAATCAATTTATAAGAAAAAGTCAAGATATGGTTATGCAGGAGGTCAGTGGCTTAATTGACTGCAGCTCTAGATGGTTAAAATGTTCGATTTTTGTAGTTGATTAATGCAGGTGAAGATGTCTTGGTATTTTACAATGACAAAGCGTCTTTTAATCACTTTATTGAAATGATGAAATCCGAAAGGCATTGCATGGACGAGAGTAGCTCACTTCGTTATCACGTGGAACTGGTGAAACTTCTAGCTTGCTGTACCATGGGAAAGAACGTCTATACTGAAATAAAATGCCACAGTCTGTTACCATTGGACGATATAGTTGCGATGGTAACACATCCAGATTGTATTCCTGAAGTTAAGGAAGCGTATGTCGGATTTTTGAACCATTGCTATATTGACACCGAAGTCGAAATGAAAGAAATTTACACTTCTAATCATATGTGGAGTTTATTCGACAAGTCATTTTTAGTTGATATGGCAGATATTGCAACTGCGCCGGCAGATAGAACGAATTCCGATAAGGCATTGGAATACTACGTAACTAATGGGGTTATGAATATTATTTCCACGTTCTTTAGTAGCCCTTTTTCTGATCAAAGCACCACCGTCCAGGTGAGATTAAAATTCTACTTGGCCAATTTTTGATTTCCATTGCATGGGCCTTAATATTTTTGGATTTTTTACTATCGGTATTTTTGCAATAATAGTTGTGCTAACTTTTTTTGTAAGTAACTTTCACATGCTTGATATTGATGGTTTTGTGTAAAATTGGTATATGACTGTAATGTAAAAAAAATTCGTTGTTCCGCGAAACTTTACAAAAACCATCAATATACAACTTCCTATGATCTGCTGGTGGCTATTTATTTGGTGATGGGTAGAAACATCTGCATGAAGCCCGTATGTATTGGAGCGACGCTACTGCGGATGTCGATGATTCCATCGCGGTAACCCCGCCCATGAAATTTTCAACGGTGTCGGGTAATGTAGTAAGTATTACTTTTCTGATGTTGTCTATCTTTAATAAATAGAAATACACAAAATAGCACATGGTCTTGCTTTCGCTACACAATAGCTCGCTTATTGAAAATTGGCTGATGGTATGCATTGTCGTTTCACGATGTTTAGGTTACACAAGATTCAGCTGGTTTTGGTTAAGGTTTTTCTATATCTTAGGATAGTAAATGCGCATATTTATAAGATGCCGTTTCAAAACAAACTATTAACAATGGGTGAACAAGGAGTACTTAATATACAAACACCTTAGTAGATTTTGGAGTTTAGAGTGCACTCTTAAATCTAACTTTTAAAGAAATAGTCAGGTAGTCAAGATAAGTATCAAAGTAGTGTAATTAATCTTACCTAATACAAAAAAAAATAAGCGAGCAGTTTATACATCTTATGAGTTATGACCAAATGAAAGAGTAACACCAGTGAAATCACTTACCCTTAAATTGTTCAGTTCTATGGTGCAGTTTATATTATTATTTGAATTACTCAGAATGTTGTGTTCGCATTTCCAGGGGCTGGTTCCAACTAAATTACAAAATGGGAATATCGAAAAACAAATACTGGTTACTGATCTTATTTTTGAGAAGGTCATCACATTGCTAAACCTCGGCTTCTATGAAGTTTAAAAACTCTCAGTTAATTTTTATGAATGAAACTTCAGATTTCTTGCTAATATACAGGATAACAACGAATCAAACAAAGGTCACCAGTACATTGCCTGACTAAATTGTGCAGTCAAATTTACTGCAGTAGAAATACGGATTCAACTTGAAAGTGGTGGTTGAACGAATGATATATATAATTACAATCAAAGCAAAATTAGCATTCCATTCTTCTGTTAACCCCCCAAAAATAAAATGGGCGCTCATCAGAGGCCTATCGTGTATACGCTCAAAAAGGAAGTAAACCGTCATCAATCGACTCTTGTCGTTAAATGCATGTAGTCATTAAGCACATAGTTCTCCCTTGCGCACTTAAGTGTAACCCTACCAAGTAACATGTTCACAGTGACCAGAGGATCAAGGTAACGGGTTATAGCATAGAAAAGTAGGGTTGATGTAATGGCCACACATCATGGAAGCGAGTGAAAGTTAATCCATTAGGCATAATCTTTAAACTAAACTGTTCTTCCTTTATTATGTACTCTTTGTTTAAACAACTTGTAACATTTAACATTTCCAAAGCCTTAATTGTGGCAAGCAACTAAAATTGCTAATTGCTTACTCAATATTTACTAACACGTAACAAAATAAAAATGATACTAATTGCACACATCCGAAAACGATACATACTAAAATCATATTTGGTGGGTGTTTTAGACCAGACAACCGATATTTGTGAAATTATTGCAATCTGCTTTTCGAGTATCGCAGTGTGACTGGTTGACACCTCCCCAGCGGTTTAACGTTGAGAACTGCATTCGTACACTATCCGAAGTGGGTACGTATTTTTGCAGTTAACAGTTCCGTAGTGAGAACTCTTTCGTAGCAAAGAATCGAGGGATTGCTATACCTTTGGATTTGGAAAGTCAGGTGAACGCGATGTTTAATAAGGCCACAATTTTGACTAGACAGACCAGTAAGTGGCTACAGGCGGCGAAGACACCCAAAATAGAGCGGTCCCAATCTCAAGTAATACTCAAATTTCGTTTCTCAACCCCTAATAGTTATAATTACAGTTAATTCGTCTAGATAGGAGTATAATCGAAGGTTTACAAGATATAGTGTCTCTTTTAGAGGACCAACTGAAACCGTTAGTTCAATCTGAGCTATCTTTGTTAGTCGATGTTTTATACCGTCCAGAGTTGTTATTTCCTCCCGGAACTGAGTCTCGAAAGAAATGCGAGAGTGGCGGTTTCATAAGAAGGTTAGTTACTGTGCATGGCAAAATATCGCTTTGCAATGACTGCACCAAAACACAACAAAAAGTGCTGATATGTCTTAAGTCACATGATTAAACTAACGGATGAAACAAGATAATATTTGTCACAAAGAAGAATGAATTAGGTACCCAGCTAAATGCGGGACTAGAATCAGGGTAGTAATAAAGCGATATCTTTGCATATTTTATAAACAATTTCCCAACTTTTTGGCGCGTTATAATGCTGTTGGTATTAATTTGACTCTTTCAGACTAATAAAGCACACAGAAACATTACTGGAAGAGAAGGAAGAGAAATTGTGTGTAAAAGTCCTTCGTATCCTGCGAGAAATGATGGCCATTGATCCCGAGTATGGCGAAAAGGTAATTAGATCTCTCTATTCTTGTAACATGAATAAAAACTTTGAAACATTTGTGCTGCTAAGATTGAGGAAAGGGCTAAAAATGTTCCGGTATGCTATCTAAGGCTTGAGACGGTTTTTGATAATTAACTTTGTAAACTTTGTCATTAGGGCGACGCTTTGCGCAACAGTCTACTGGCGCGTTACTTCGGAAAAGCGTTCATTCAAAAACCCGACACTGTGGAGTTGTGCGGTATCCAATTAACTACTGTAATGCACGGGCCCGGCGGTAAGTTTTTTAAATATTCGATTTCTGTTCTGGCAGTCAAATTATAGCAAAATTATTGAGCCGGGCCGGTCGTACTTTGCACGAGGTGCAAACGCACTTGGATAAGGAAGGAGCCTCAGACTTGGTAGTGGAATTGGTGATTAACTCTGTTCATTCACCATCAATATTTGGTGAAGCTGTTCATTTGGGAATAGCGTTATTAGAAGGTGGTAATCCAATCATACAAAAAAGTATGTTTAGTAAATTAGTGGGTGGTGAATTGAGCCAATCATTCTTCAAGGTAGGAGCTTTAGAAATAAAACCTCTCAGGACACCAGAACGGGAACACATGATACAAATGAACTAGTCCTTTTTTGTCAAATGTCGTCTGTTGACTTTTGACTTCTTATCCCTGCGCCTTTTTCTACCTCAGTTGGGGACGGAAAGTATGATTTAATGGTAATCACGTACAACAGTGACTATACCTCTTGTAGCTTAAGTCAGATACCTTTACCGTCATGTGCACAGTAGATATTTTATATCGATGGAAGAATTTAAATGGGAAAAGCATTGTTCTGGAAAAGTGTGCTTTAGGAGGATACATCATCTGCTGTATGCTACATTATAAAATCGAATTCTAAATTGATAATCGCGCATTAGTCCTTTTAGTTAAGTGGCCAAATCGAAAACCGACTCTGTTTCTTAATTCTAACGGCATTTTATGAGCCATTTTGGCCACCTGGTTTTTTAGATGTAAAAAAATGTGCTGAATCCGATTCTGGATGTTGCCAGGCCGAATTTTGCACTAGTTCACAAATACAGCACGATGGCGCCACTATCTATTGTATTGTTACTACTTAGTATTAAATTGTTTTCCATAATTTATTACTTATATATACGTAAGAGTTGGTTAATTAACTTCATAACTAGTTCGGAAAATGTAGGAAAATATATCCTGTGGTGATATATAGGGTGTCCCAAAAAAGCTGTGAATTAATTAAATTAGTGTTTTACATTTTCCTCGGCAAATGTCCGAGATCTGTTCATTAGCACATTAACTGAATTAACTTGAAATTAACTGCATTTACAGAACATATTAACTACATTAAAAGTTAATTTTAATTCATTAACTACTATTTGTACACCGCATAACTAGGTGGTTTACCCCTCGGTTCCCGCCGACACAGTGCAGCGGCTCCACTTGCTACAATCAAATTGTTTATTTACCGCCCGACAAGATACAGACTTTATTTACAAAAAATATGATTTCATTTTTTAGGGTAATGTTCAGAAGTAACTTATCTAGAAAACTGTCGGTTTACTTTTTCCATAAATCGTCTTGATCGAGAGTAAAACAATAAAACAGGTTAGCGCAATAATCGGTGCAAAATATCTAATCTTTAAACCGCCCGTATTCAGTTGCTGTAAACTTTAAAAAAAAAATAGTCCGAATATTTTGTAGATAAAGGTGTAAATTTATAAAATATAACATTTATATATTATTAATATAAAATTTTATTTTTCAAAAACAACTTGAGTTTTTTACGCGGACGCTCTTATGGAAATATACATTGGGTGCAGTGGGTACAGAAGGGCGTAGAGTTGCATCTTCTCATTATGCTGTTGCGGGGGACATTTTGTACCATACATATTGTCTTGCAAATGCGATAAGGGACACTGAAAAATGGAATGGTCAGACTAGTCCTCCTAAAAACTTGGCTTTAAATAAATTATGCTATGAACTAAAAGTAAGGTAATACATTTGCCGTCAGAATTATCTCTATATTGTTACTGTGTTGTCTGTATAATGTACCCAATATATAAGTTTTGCAATTTTCTGTGCCTCCTGTATGTTTTTTTAACACCTCAATCCGAAAAACTATGTAAAATGCGTCTGGCATACAAATTTATATATTTGGCCGCCATATTGGCCGCCATTTGGAAATTAGCCAAAAATCAGCTTGGCAACATCCGAATTCGGATTCAGCAGACATTTTTATCCTTATAAACGCACGTTTCCAAAATGGCTCATTAAATATGCCGTTAGACTTGCGATTTATTAACTATGGCAACCCAACTATTTATTTAATCACGTTTTTCTGCTAAGATATCTTCTGTCATATAACATTTATGTAGCATTTGAGAAATGAAAGTGAACTTTTTAACATCTTGGAAAGTAGTTCGGAAGTTACAAACGTGTTTGTTGGCCCTCAGAGGTTGACATTGAAATATTGCACACACATCGCAGAGTAAAATGTCAAAAACAACAACATATTTTGGGACAAATTTGTAATATTACCATGTAAATAAGCACAAGGGAGAGATTTTTCTTGCGCAAACTATGCGTTATTGGTGCATTCAGGCGCCCCCTTTGTCTCTAGATTGAAGAGCTGTCTATAGAGGATATAATCTTTGCACACAGTTCAATCTTCATTTGCAATTGTGTCCCCGTATTTTGTAGAATATGACGTAACAACACCATTTGGAAAATAGGCACTATAATTTGTTATTGTGTTGTCGATATAGTGTCCTTAGAGGTTTTAAGTTAAGGGTGAAAGCATGATCCTTTTTAGGTATTTTATGATAAAATGCGGGACGCTCAACAAGAAATTAAATCGACAGTCAGCGTGAATACTTCCGATATGGCTGCAAAAGCGCACGAAGATAAACAGGATGGCAAAGATTCCGACAAGGGGTCGCGTAAAAGTGATGCCAAAACGAATGGTATTGTAATTAGTGAAGAACTGCGAGAAGAGTTGAATAGGGCGGCGGATTCAACGTCGCAAGCATTTGCAAATGTCCGTGCGTTATCGGCCGGAGAAGACAACGGTTCGTTAACTGCAGGTGCAGCGTCGACTTTTGAAGATATGCTCGCCGAAAAATTAGAAAAACATCGCGAACGAGACGAAGAAAATGTCCTTTCGGCGAAGATTTTAATTATGCAACCTATATTGCGATTTTTGCAGTTGTTGTGTGAAAATCACAATCCCGCGTTACAAAATTTATTACGTAATCAAAATAATAAGACTAACTTCAATCTAGTATCAGAAACACTCATGTTCCTCGATTGCATTTGCGGGTCGACAACAGGAGGATTAGGTTTGTTGGGCTTGTACATTAACGAAAATAACGTGTCTTTAATCAATCAAACGCTGGAAACGCTAACAGAGTACTGCCAAGGTCCTTGTCATGAAAATCAGAATTGTATAGCAACTCACGAATCAAACGGTTTAGATATCATCACTGCTTTAATTTTGAACGACATTAATCCACTAGGAAAAACCAGGATGGATTTGGTGCTCGAATTAAAAAATAATGCCTCAAAATTACTACTGGCGATAATGGAGAGTCGTGGTGATAGTGAAAATGCTGAACGCATATTGTATAACATGAATCCTAAGCAACTAGTTGATGTAGCTTGCAGGGCTTATCACCAAGAAATTTTAGAGGAAGATGATTTGGATGACGACAGTAGTTCGGATGACAATGTCTCACCACGTGAAGTCGGTCACAACATTTACATTCTGTGCCATCAACTAGCCCAACATAATAAAGAATTAGCGGCGTTGCTTAAACTGACCGAGGGTACGGATCCCGTAACTCTTCAAGCTCTGAATTACTATGCCACGCATACTGCTCAAATAGAAATCGTAAGACACGATCGCACCTTAGAGCAAATCGTATTTCCTATCCCGGAAATATGCGAGTATATTACTAGTGATACCAAACTGAAAGTTTTAAATACTGCCGAACGAGACGACCAGGGTTCTAAAGTTACTGCCTTTTTTGAACGCACAGAAGAAATGTTTAACGAAATGAAGTGGCAGAAGAAATTAAGAGGTAAGCGGTGCGGAAATTTGGAAATGTGTTTTAATTACCTATACGTTGAGGCTGTGACATGACTTGATATTTTTCTCACAACTTCCACTTGGGCCTCTCACTTTCTCTAACAAAAGGGTGAATTGTTTTAAATCTATAAGGTCCAATTGTATGGCTTTGCTTCTTCTCTAGGTGAAGTAGTACCACAGCATACTCAGGACAGCATGAAAACTCACTAGCGCGGGAAAATGTTGTGCTTCTAGTGAAGACAAGCATATCGCCTATTGATAAAATCAGATGTGCGCATTCGCAAATTAACGAAAGATTCTTCTAGTAAAGGCCAATGTAGGTATATTGTCTATTATTGACCTTAGCCTCTTGAGTAGGCATGGGAATTTTTTTCGATATATCGATAGGTATCGATAGTTATCGATATATCGAATAACAATAGGTAGAGCTAAAAAAATCGATAGATCGATAACTATCGATACTTATCGATAGATCGATAACTATCGATACTTATCGATAAGTATCGATATATCGATACCTATCGATATGTCGATAACTATTGATATATCGATATGTCGATAACTATCGATATATCGATATGTCGATAACTATTGACATATATCGATATGTCGATAACTATTGATATATCGATATGTCGATAACTATCGATATGTCGATAACTATTGATATATCGATATGTCGATAACTATTGATATATCAATATGTCGATAACTATTGGTACGATAAAATTATGTTATTGTTGAGATTTCAACGAGCGCTACTATTTTTATTAATAAAATCCATTTTCGGGTTTACTCTCGTGTAAATTAACTATTTTTAGTTGCTCGACGTTTCGGAAACTTAACTTTGCTCCCTTTCTCAAGAGAAGCGCTACGTCACATCATCATCCATGCCAAATAAACGCAGTAATAAAATCTTTAGAAAATAGATCTTTTCGCCTTACTGACGATTGCTCAAAAAAAGAAGCACTTCAAAAACTTGAACAAAATGTTGCATCAAAATGGCTACTCTTTAGATAAAATAAAGAAGACAATAAAAGGGTGTAATCATGGCCTATGTATCGGTATCTGATTGATGGTTACAGAGGACCAGTCACAAAAAAACAGAAAAAGCTAAAAACACTTCAAATTTAGATATACAGTTTCAATTGATTGACATTTACGAAATCTAACAAAAAACTCTTGATAAAGGTAGCAAAGAAACGTCGAGTAACTATTAATACCTAGTCACTTTACACGAGAATAAACCGGAAAATGGATTTTATTAATAAAACTCGATAAGATAACTATCCCTGTCGATAACTATCGATACGTCGAATATTTCTCTCAAATGAGACATGCAATTACCGCTTAATTACAGCGGTAATTGCATTGTAGAAAGCTAAAGAGCCCTGCGATAATTGCACAGTTAATATGGTAACTCCAATAAAGTTGCAAGAACTGCATTCGGTTATTTTTATATTTTGTTAAAAGAGCCCTCTTGTCTTGTCGGGCTCTTTCGCCAAAATATAAAAGTAAACTCATGCAGTTTTTAGACACGCTTTCAAAAAAATTATCGGTAATATTATCTCGATACCTATATATTAAAAACTATCGCCATAACGAGAACTATCGATATACCGATACTTATCGATATAGCGGCAGTTATCGATCTTTCGATAGATATCGGTGTATCGATAACCATCGATATTTCGATAATTATCGGCATATCGATAAGTAAAATATATCGATAGGTAAGTACCCGATACTTATATCGATAGGTGAAAACAGTTATCGCCCATCCCTAGCGATAACTATCGACATATCGATATATCGATAACTATCGACATATCGATACCTATCGATAGTATTCATATATCGATAACTATCGAAATATCGATAACTATCGAAATATCGATAACTAAACTATCGATATATCGATAATTATCGAAATATCAATGGTTATCGATATATCGATAGTTATCGATATGTCGATAGTTATCGATATGTCGATAGTTATCGATATGTCGATAGTTATCGATATGTCGATAGTGATCGATATATCGATAGTTATCGATATTTCGATAGTTATCGATAAGTAAAATATATCGATAGGTAAGTACCCGATACTTATCGATAGGTGAAAACAGTTATCACCCATCCCTACTCTTGAGCAATACTTTCGGCCTATAGGATTTAACATCATTTGGTTGTTTTCCTGTCTTTGGTAGCATGATCACTTCCGCAACTTTCCAAGGTGCAGGGACGTGATACAGTCTGAAAACTGCTTTAAACAAGTATGTGAGCATTACAATACTTTTTCGAATCCTGGTGCTTTCTTTGGGTTCTTTACCTTTAGTCGTAGTTAATCTGGATCCCCAGTCTGCATGTGTCGAGTTGATGTCTCCTTCGATCATAAATCTTTTGCCAAGATGTTGCAAGAGTGTTAAGTAATCTTTTTCACTCTTAGTTTCTGTTTTAGAAACATGAGTCCAACCACTGTTACTTGAATACATGGTATAATAAAAACGGTATCGCAACGCGCATCGTGTCCCCTTTCCCCACGCCGTATGACGTCAATCACGTTAAATGTTAAGCAGATAAAATGTAAGTAGAGGTGTTGTTCGAATGGTGCGCCAAGCGCGTGTACGTGAATGGAAAACGAAGATCATGTACCTCTATTTTTTAAACAGTTTGAAAATATAGTAGACTAGGGCTTGTAATGAATCAAAATGTATTTAATAATTTGATATACTCACGTATATCTAAATGATCGAAGCAATAAAAGTATTTCCGCGTACTGTAAATATCCTAGTTCACTTACATCGTATTAATCAGATTAATTATATTAAACAAATTGCTTTCAGCTTATTTTTTTAATTTAAGCATGTAATTTTGTACAAAGCTTATTCTTCTATTCTAAGAACTTTCTTTTTTGATTCGGCTACAGCGTCTCCTTGTATGATAACGGATGCCCCAATTTTGTTTAGTCTACAAATTTTTTCGCATACGTATATTCAGTTCCGAAGTATTTAACATCTTAACTCTTCGTTTTTCATGAATAATTAGTACATTTTGCACTCGCGCAACCAGGCATTATCGTTTAAATGTTTATTCGGTATCCTAGCGGTGTAATAAAAGCGGAAATAAAAGGTATTCGCTATTAATAGAAGCAAAAACTTGAGTGTTTGCAATGCAGGACTATCAACTACACATATTCCTGTACGTACGATAAATATAATATGCACCACAATGCAGATTACACGTCGAAAACGAGGCCCACCATTGAATCTTTATGGGATCACGTGACAGATGTAACTAGAGTGACGTCATGCGCGGGCACGACGTGTTTTCGTCCGACAACTGGGCACCCGATGCTTGAATATCTTCTCTTCGCAGGTGACATTTATAGTAGTTGAACTTTTCTTTTATTATGATCGGACTACAACCCCTAGCTTGGTAATCCGGGTGGGTGGTATGATGTTCCAGGTAGCAATACGTAAGTCTGTCTTGGGTGTAGTAACCAGTGCTTCTGGTTTCTAATTTGTTGAGTCTTGTCCGCTCTAATGTTTTCATTGTATTATCCAGAAGCTGCATCATAAGATGTTCATGTAGTGGGTACTACTTCTAAAAAATTCAGTCATGTCACAGCTTCAACTCATTGTCATGTTGAAAACTTTACACTTTGACATCCTTCAGGAAGCGTTGATCTTGCCTTTTTTTTTAGCACAACCTTTATTATTTTGGGTTAGCAGTTACATGTCGCTATGGAGTAACATATTGTTCAATTGTGCTGTGCTAATAAATTTAATAGTAGCATTCTTCTACCCCTTTGTTGACACAGTACCTGGTAAGTACACTAAGCAAATGGCTCACAAGTACTGAGTGTTTTCCATATAGAGTTGGGGTCGACGATATCGCTGCTAATTTGGGCCGCGATGGTAGCGTCGGGCGCTATAGTATTAACACTTCCTAGAGAAACTGGCATTAGAACGTTGGTGGCCTCTACAATTTTGCGACTTATATTTTCAGTAGGTCCTGAACCGACGCTATGGTTATTGGGGACGCTTACAGTTTTTCTCAAAGGAATTCATCTAGTCAGTATAATGGGTAATCATGGTACCATTACAAAAAGTTATTATCAAATACTCACGGATGTTGAATTATTATATCACGTTATTTATTTAATATTTTGTTTGCTTGGTATGATGATGCATCCGTTTTTTTATTCCGTCTTGGTAAGTTCATTTTAATCTTAGTCTACTGTCAATAATATGAGCTTTTAGCTATTTGACGTTGTGTACAGAGAAGAAACCTTGTTGAACGTTATACGTTCTGTTACTAGGAACGGCCGCTCTATTATCTTAACTGCGGTATTGGCCATAATTTTAGTCTACATGTTCTCTATCATTGGATACATGTTCTTTAAGGACGATTTTCTTGTTAGCGTTGACGAGGAAACACCAGGTGAGTGTTGGTCATTTTTGGTAGAAATTATTAAACGTTTTTTTTTTATTTTAAGACACTGTAAGGTAAAGCTGTTCTTATTACAGCAGGTAATGTGTGACTTTTGGGTTTACGATGCAACTATTAATTGATATGCTACCAGTATATGCCATTTCTGTGGCACATTATGATCGAAAAACTTGTATAAACTTATTCAGATTTTTGATATCGATAAGCAATTTGCAATTAACAAAATTAACTACAGGCAAAATACTATGAATTGCTCATGATATTGAAGTTATTTTTTCATTTACTAGCTGGAAAACGCTCTTCCCACTCACATTTATAGATAATTGTTTTAATAGAATCTGTTTCATTGGTTTTCTCCTAAGGATTTTTGCAGTGAGGCAATTTGATGATTATGGATTAGATACTAAATTATTGTAAGATGTTGCATTTGTAATAATTTCGATATTTTAATGTAATATTTTAATAATAATCTTCGTTTTTGGTAATGTCATAGTGTGCTAATTCTGGTAGTAATTGTATTTGTTAGCATTCTAATGATAATTACTACAAACATACCATTTTAAAAATGAGCTATTCCTAGTATTTTATTTGTATCGAAACCCTTTCGATCATTGTGTGCAGAAACCATATTTTTTTGTTCATGGAGTAGCTGCCACATTTTAACCACCGCATTTTTGTTAAAGCTACTCACTTACCGTTGATGACAGTACTATTTACTACAGCCACAGATCGACTACACACAAGAATGTGAGGGTAAATTTGAAATTTTGCAATGTAGACCTGTTTACTTCATCTCCAAACACACTAGATAGTGTTAATTCATTTCATAAACAAAATTGAAAATGGGCGGGAACGGCGTAATGGGCTCCATTTGCTGCCAGAAATGGGTTAACTTGCCTTGTCGAAACTTTATACTCTCTACTACCTCATTTTTTGGTCGCTGTTGAAATTTTGGCAATCTGGAAGTAGCGTTTTGCTGCATTTACTTTTTTCTAGCGCTGCAGATGCGAAAGTTCGAATTGGAAGGGCACTAGTATCTTTCCAGTCTGAGAATTTTTCATCTACAGGAATCCTGTGAGAAAAATCTACAATTGGTTCTATGATTTTATAGGTTTAAGAATACTTTAGATCTTGATAATCTTAGGATTGTAAAGTAACTTCGATTTTTCCGCTCCTCCAAATTTCGTTTTCTTTGCAGTGTCAAGCTCCAGGGCATGCGCCAAAACCTTTTCCAAATTCTCATGTCGCACAAGTTTCAAAGCTTGTTGCGTTTCACCATCGATGAACGTTTGCACCGCCAGTTGTTCTTTAAAATTTTCTCGAGCCGTAAGATATGGCTATATCGGCTTTCAAAGTTTTTTGCGTTTCTGTTCTTTAATTGAGCGTAATACACCTGCTGTAAATGTCTATCTCAGTATCCAGCTTCCTTATTATTATTAAAAACCCCACTAGTGCGGGCATTTTGGTAATAATCCACCAATGGTTTTGATAACCCTCGAACTTTAGTACCTAATTTTTTTTGGTCTCCAAAATGTGGAATATCTCAATATGTTTTAACCCAGAAATTCTCAGATATCTTAAAGTTTTGAAAGAATCAAGAGAGGAAAGGGAGGGAGTAGAGAGTTAGTAATGCATTGCAAATATTTAACTACTGACTTTGGAATGTTCAAAGTAATTTCATTTGCGATTTTGTATTTCTTCTTGTTAGACATAAAATTGCTATTACCATGAAGCCTATTTTGCTGCGCTTCATTTTAAGCACTACTGCTACTAGCAGAAAATACTTCAACATATAAAGCATAACCTTTTTTGTTAATGTTATCGTTACCTACACTAAGACATTAGTAATCCCATTTTGAAAATAAATATATCAATTGGTTTCCCATCCTTCTTAAAAATTTCATCACAGATTACAGGTCGTGCTTTATTGCAGTACATGTTGATAGTGTGGACGCCATCTTTGATTTTTTCGTTCATTTGACGCATTCTCCTAGAAGGTATCTATACTGATGCGTCAGATTGATGGTACAAAATATATAATCTTACCATTCTCGTGTCTTAAGTGGTAGTACTGAGGCCGTGGTAAAATCGAGCATGATAAAGTGATCGAAATATTAAGAAATTTTTGAGTATGATGCAGTTTTTTTTTTAAATTAACAGTAAAGCGTCACTTTTCCTTCTGGATTGGGACTTGCAAATGTTAACACCAGAAAATAATATAATTTCCTTAAATCTTATGTTTCTATGAATTCTTAGGTATATCTCATTGTGAAACTGTATCTGATACAGTGGGGTCGAAGTATAAGGAATTTGTCGACGAATCCCAGCAAACTTGTAATGCGAATGAGGCTTCAGAAGCATCGGAGGCTAAGGAAAGAGCGTGCGATTCATTGATAATGTGTATTGTAACAACGTTAAATCAAGGTTTGCGAAATGGTGGTGGTATCGGCGATATTTTACGTGCACCTAGCAGTTCGGTATGTTACAATTTTGCATTTCAGTTTTCACATTCTGTTCTAGGAGGCGCTGTTTGTTGCACGAGTTGTTTACGATCTCCTATTCTTCTTCATCGTTATCATCATTATTCTGAATCTCATTTTTGGTGTCATCATCGATACCTTTGCGGATCTCAGATCAGAAAAGCAACAAAAAGAGCTTATTCTGAAGAATACCTGTTTCATTTGTGGTAAGTATCGCTTGTGATCAATTTATCAATTTACGCATTCCTTTAAGGTCTAAACCGATCTGCATTTGACAACAAAACAGTCAGCTTCGAAGAACATATCAAGTGTGAACACAACATGTGGCACTACCTCTATTTTATAGTTTTAATAAAAGTAAAAGACCCTACTGAATTTACTGGCCCAGAAAGTTACGTTTACGCAATGGTTAAAGCGAGCAACTTGGAGTGGTTCCCACGTTTGTTGGCGATGTCTTTGTCGGCCGTTGAAGGTGATGCAGAGCAAATAGAGTTACGTACGCTTCAAATGCAATTAGAAACAACTCAAGTCCTTGTGTCGACTTTATCGCAACAATTAATGGAGCTAAAAGATCAAATGGCCGAGCAGAAGAAGCAAAAGCAGAGGATGGGCTTGCTAAATTCCGCATCTTCATTTTTACACACTTCTAACATACCGTAACTGTGACTAGTTTCAAGTTGACCAGCTTGTATTGATATCAGTTAGGGTTTTCATTCCATTTTCGGTTAGTTTGACTGTTTATACTCTTCACCGTTAGATTTATGTACTTACACAACACCTTAAATAAATCTTTTGCGTTGTGACAAGGATCACTATCGAAAGTTCACTAGCATATTTGTGCCAAAAAGTCTCACTTTGCCAACAAATAACTGGTTCTATTAATGTTACTAGAATTAGTATTCTTTTCAACCTTTTGGTAAGGATATTGTAGAAGTGAATAATTCTTATGTGTTTAAAAGACATTGTACAACCATAAATCTAATACAACAATTGTTAAATATTATTTAATATTTTATTGTTACATGAATTAGTTGCAAGTGTTTCGAGATAAGTAGGTATTAGCACTATATACGTAGACTTAATTCGGTTTTTGGATTGTTCAATTCAAGGGATATGTTGTGTTAAAGGCTGTGACAAATCACAAATGTATCAATACTAAAAGGCCTTGAAAAGGTGGTACTTAGTTGTCTTAAAACTTCAGTGAAATAATGACTTGTGATAGCAGTTCATATGCTCAACAAATCTGTTAGTAAATATGTGTTAGATCATTTTGTGATGCATTGTTACTTTTATGTGGTTTTAGGTCAATAGTTGTGAAAGTCTGTACAAAGTTATTTACCAAATTATATCTTCTAATGTTCACAGATCTTTATTCACCACAGGTTGAACTGTGAAAACACAGTGCTGCCAAAAAGTAAGAATGGCAAATTATAAATAAATCCTTGTCGGGCCTAACTAAATAATTAAATGTGGATTGATCGCACCGAACGGTGATCTGATCTAACACTCAACGTAGTGTGCAGATGTCTTGTAACTAAATATTATTGCCTATATATAACAAACTAAATTCTGTCAATTCGTTAAAAATAAGTTTCGGGGCCAATTGGATAATCCTCATTGCTCATAAGAGGTACATTAATCAAATTGAAATGGATCTGCGGAAGAATTTCAATAAATTCTAGAGCTTCCTCAAGTCATTGAGGAAGAATAGTCAACTACCCGAAGTTTTTAAGTACAAAAACACCTCATTAATAGAGAAGCACTGCGGATACCTTTGCATTCTTCTTCGAGGCAGTCTACACCATTGAGAGGGAAGATGACGTGGAATCGGACCTGGTGTTATCCAAATCAAATTAGATCATAAGCCCTAATGTACATATGTTCAGAGCCCTAGTGCCATGTAATTGGAATTTTCTTATTCTGTAATCTGTATGGTAGACTACTACTACCAGGAATCCCGAAAATAAATTGTAAGCACGAGTTTTGAACCACTTGTAACCACTTTAGAGAATCACCATCTATACAAGGACCGTAAACGGAAGCGCTGTAAGAAAAACTTGATAGTATCAATAAGTTACATACCACAGCCATCGTTTTGATAGACAGATAATGCCTATGTGAATAAAGCACTTGTAACCCCATATACGCTCTGTATATTCAGATTCAGGTTTTTTTGGAACCTAAGTTGTAAGTAAAAGCACGCTAAGTTTCCCAACATCATTAGCGCCAGTTGCATTTAACAATGCAGTTGCGCAGCTATGACCATCTCTAAATCCAGACTGACTAGGGAGCAATATTGATTATCATAAGATACTCTTTAAGTTGTCCATGGTGTACCTTCTCTACAATCTTTGAGAACGTATAGACAAAAGGCTTATTGGTGGTAGATCACTAAAGGTGGTTGGATTATTTTTTTTCGGAATAGGACTGACAATGGTGGTCTTCAAGCTTAATGGAAAGGTGCTATTTAAAATTATCACATTTACTAGGTGTGTTAGGTATGGTATAGATAATTGGGCAGCAAGCCATTATCATTTTGTGATTAATGGCCTCATAAAAGGCAATTTACCAATCAGATTAGGGAACTGTGGAGTAGGTACTGTATTGATTCATGAGAGATGTGTTATCATTAGTAGAAGGTATGGAATCGAGAAAGATGTTATTATAATGTCATTAGGAATTTTAACAGTATTTGGTCATTGTTGTTTAGCATTTCTATGTTAAACACTTGAATCTTCCTCCGGAAATTCAGAAATTAGATGCAGTACGTCACGCAATTTTAAAATTCGTTTCTCGAAAATCCGATAGTTTTTAAATTAAACGAATAGTACCTACTTATTCAAAGTACCTATATACTTAAGCATATTTCACTTAGGTATAAGTAGTATCATTGAATAAAAACCACTATTCAATGGTAGTATTTACAGCTTATGCAAAAGGGCTTCTAGGAATTTATATGTTCCCAACATCATTATAATTCATGATCATTTTAATCTGGTCACTGAATTTAAAAGTTTGATAGTCTTCTGTTTCTTTAATGTGTAAGTAAGTGTATAAAAGCCTAGGATCATAGAATTTATTTGCTGCGGGCTTCTGCAAACGCTCAGCATCTTCACTAGCCAGATCATCGTTAGCGGTTGGAGCAATAAAATTAAAATTCAAAACTAAATTTAAGTCCAATGGATGGATTAGTACGTAGGTATTTGCTCCATATTGTCTACACGTGCGCTAATCTGGTGTGAATTCAATAGTCTCTTGTTATTTGAGAAAGCAACGTGTGAAGCTCCAAGACAAGCTTAATCATTCACAATACATTTAGCAATGAAACTTTTTCTTGCTCTCTGTTAGAGAAAGGTGATATATTAATACGAACATCATTCAACACTTTATCCTAGCATTAAATTAACTTTGTGGTAGTTCATAGCGGTTTGTATTGCTGTGATCGAGGACAGGAGTCCTATATGGAATAGTGATATCTGATATGCATGCGCCCTAAAAAAAAATTGTCTGAGATCGACAGTTCCAAGATTGGGCTACTAGTTCAAAAGTTACAGCCCTTTGAATTTTCTTTCGAAATTGGTTTCTTTTCTAGTCTATAACTTTTTATTGAGAAGTCTGATCGAAAAAGTACGAATTGTTTTGGATTCTACGTACCAAAATTAATAAGAAAAAGGGTTTTCCCGAGAAATTTTGGTGCAGTCGAATTTTGGTAAAAAAGGAAGGTTTGTACACTGCCTTTTTTTGAGGCTCTCAAAAGAAATTGACTCAGATCGACCCGGAAAAAAAAATTTCTTATAGAATGTGACCTGTAGAATCCATAATTTCAAACAGTTCCAAGATTGGGCTACTAGTTCAAAAGTTACAGCCCTTTGAATTTTCTTTCGAAATTGGTTTCTAGTCTATAACTTTTGATTGAGAAGTCTGATCGAAAAAGTACGAATTGTTTTGGATTCTACGCACCAAAATTAATAAGAAAAAGTGTTTTCCCGAGAAATTTTGGTGCAGTCGATTTTTGGTAAAAAAGGAAGGTTATACACTGCCTTTTTTTGAGCCCGAAAAAAAAATTGACTCAGATCGACCCGGAAAAAATTTTCTTATAGAATGTGGCCTGTAGAATCCATAATTTCAAACAGTTCCAAGATTGGGCTACTAGTTCAAAAGTTACAGCCCTTTGAATTTTCTTGCGAAATTGGTTTCTAGTCTATAACTTTTGATTGAGAAGTCTGATCGAAAAAGTACGAATTGTTTTGGATTCTACGCACCAAAATTAATAAGAAGAAGTGTTTTCCCGAGAAATTTTGGTGTAGTCGATTTTTGGTAAAAAAGGAAGGTTATACACTGCCTTTTTTTTGAGCCCCGAAAAAAAAATTGTCTCAGATCGACCCGGAAAAAAAATTTTCTTATAGAATGTGGCCTGTAGAATCCATAATTCCAAACAGTTCCAAGATTGGGCTACTAGTTCAAAAGTTACAGCCCTTTGAATTTTTTTTCGAAATTGGTTTCTTTTCTAGTCTATAACTTTTGATTGAGAAGTCTGATCGAAAAAGTACGAATTGTTTTGGATTATACGCACAAAAATTAATAAGAAAAAGTGTTTTCCCGAGAAATTTTGGTGCAGTCGATGTTTGGTAAAATAAGAAGGTTATACACTGCCTTTTTTTGAGGCTCTCAAAAAAAATTGTCTCAGATCGACCCGGAAAAAATTTTTCTTATAGAATGTGGCCTGTAGAATCCATAATTTTAAACAGTTCCAAGATTGGGCTACTAGTTCAAAGGTTACAGCCCTTTGAATTTTTTTTCGAAATTGGTTTCTAGTCTATAACTTTTGATTGAGAAGTCTGATCGAAAAAGTACGAATTGGTTTGGATTCTACGCACCAAAATTAATAAGAAAAAGTGTTTTCCCGAGAAATTTTGGTGCAGTCGATTTTTGGTATAAAAGGAAGGTTGTACACTGCCTTTTTTTGAGGCCCTCAAAAAAAATGGTCTCAGATCGACCCGGAAAAAAATTTTCTTATAGAATGTGGCCTGTAGAATCCATAATTTCAAACAGTTCCAAGATTGGGCAACTAGTTCAAAAGTTACAGCCCTTTGAATTTTCTTTCGAAATTGGTTTCTACTAGGGAATGCAATCCCGCAGCAAAATCTCAACACCGGTATTTGCGGGATTGTTAGATGTTAATCCCGCGGGATCCCGGTATTTGCGGGATCTGGCAAAACTTTAAATAAATTGGCAAATAAGCAATTCTGTGCGGTTAACTTCTGCATTAAAATAAATCGCTAATTATCACAATATTTAACAAAAAAGTATCTTCGGCCTAACTTAGAACTCAAAAAAACCTTACCCGTAAAGCAGAAAAAGTCTTCTAAAGTGCCTCCAAAATCATAGTACATTTTTAACGAAAAAAGTTTAACAATTATTTAAAAAATAATTCGCCGTTATCAGTTTCATTAACAAAGTAAACAGAGTCGTCCCCTTGGTCGACAAATTCCTCAGTCCCGCAAATCCCGCGGGATCCCGCTCCATTTATGTGCGGGATTAATCTCGCAAAAATGCTGCGGGATCCCGGTATTTCGGGATTCCGCAATCCCGGTATTGCATTCCCTAGGTATAATGAATGTTTAGGGTAAGTAAATTACTAATTGAAATGTATTTTTCTTTTATATTTACGCTTCCCAAAGTGACACCTAACTATCCAAATCGCCACAATAATTTTTTATTGAGCCATTAACGTGGTAGTTTGTACATGTATTTGTGGGATGAGGAAAAAAGCCCCTTGATATCTTATTATCGATGGATTTCAGGACACAAAGATCAACATACGGACGTGGATTGCCGCAGTACAAGAAAATTTGTTCTTTTTTCTAGGGTTTTCGTGTAGATTGCAGCGTTGAAGTTGGGTCATGTAAACGCCGCTCTTGATGTTGAATTTCAGTTTCTATCCGGAATCCTCCGTTATTGGCGCTCATCTTTTACTCCAAAAGGCATTTCTATGGACTATTCCTCGTTTTTCCTACTCCACATTGTCTTCTTACACCGGGCGTCTTTTCGTATTCCTTTCAAGTTCAAAACCATTTCCATCAGGTGGCGGGCGGGTGTTGATTCAAGTTGCCTTACTGTTGTCCCTCACTGCCCCCAGAAATGCGTGTTCGTGGCTGCTCGGCATATTCAAAAGATTAAGCTACTGTCTAGAAAAACCGATATTCGTACTTTGCAAGTGTTCCCTGTTACTTGCAGTACGTACACTACAGCAAGTGAGAATCATGATTGTATTTCTTCTGAAATTTGGTCCCAATTTTTAGGACGGTGCATAACGCGGCTATATACATTTTGATAGTTAGAGCGCAAGGAACTAAGAGACA